CCTCGGTCCACTTCCCAAAGAACGAGGTAAAGCTCCAGTTCAAGAACGGTTGGGGCCAATGAAGAAGTCCCAAACAATTCAACATGCTGGGGGTTGCCGCAACCCTCAACATTTGGAGAAAATCGTGGCACCCAAGCGCACAACTTTGCGCATCGAAGTGCAGGAGCCCGCTGAAGATTCACACCCACAAAGGCGCGTTTCGAGGCGTGTGACTCTGGAGAGCTCAAAGAAGGAAATTCATTCTCAGAAGGAAACGTTGTTGTCTGATGACGATGACGTTATACCTGGGAGATCGTGCCAACACACGATAGGTTGCTCCGACTTTCAAACGGACAAGCTGTACTATCGTGCTGGAGGTATGAGCAAATCTAGAAATAGGAGCCCTCAAAGATTAGAGACTCAATGTCCTTGCTCAAAACTCATTCGGGCGGTATTATCTGAGTGCGACTGCACCAAAATGTTTCCCGAAAGAGTTTCCGTGTTCCAAAGACTCAGTATGGAAGCGCCAAAGCTAAGGACTAGACGTTTCCGAAGAAGAAGAACAATGGTCAAAAATGGTGAACGTTCAAGGGTCACTGCCAACATGACCAGCAAGGGGACATCGGCACGGGATGATTTCGAGTCGATTCTGAGAGCCTCCCATCCTAGAACCCGTCTGTAGTCCGGAACCATCGAGCGAGCAACCTATGGTAGGGTTCGGACAAGACGCCCTTCAGAAGATGAAGAATCTGATGTCGGCTCCGCAGTCGCATTAGATAATACGGTATCCAGCGAGGGACAACCCCGCGAGGCACTCATGATAAGTGCAGAACAAATCGCCAAGATGCTTGAAGACGCCTTAGCTAAGCAGCAGGAAACCTTCAGGTTCGAAATGCAGATGACCATGCAAAACATGAGAGAAATGCATGACCAAAATTTCCGCTCAAGAGATGAAGAAAACAGGCATTCCTTGCCCATACCCAAGAGAATGGGAATCGATCCCATATCCGGCGAAGTTTAATCTAATTAACTTCACGCCGTTTAATGGGATGGGTTCACCTACCCAGCATTTGATTTACTTCAAATCGCATTTGGGGGTGATCTCTGGTAATGAGCCTCTGATGGTGCGGTCATTCGTCGGCACTCTTCGCGGAGCCGCCTTCGATTGGTATCGCCGCCTCAAGCCAGGCAGCGTGAACAGCTGGGATGACATGGAGACCAAGTTCCTGGCCAACTTCTTCGACGACGACACCGAGATATCTATCGGATCGTTGCTCGATGAGAAGCAGAAAGACGGAGAGTTAGTCGACACCTTCGTCAAAAGGTTCCGGAACAAGGCGATGAATTGCCGGGACCCGATCACCGAGGAATTCATCCTCCAGACCTGCCACAACAACCTCGCGTTGGACGTGCTGGAAGCAATGGGGACAGCACCATCCAAGACATGGAAGGACTTGAAAGTCCGGGGAGAGCAAGCTGAGCGATTCCTCAAGAGGAAGAAGGCGGAAAGAGGCCAACCGGCGACAAGTGCTCCAAAGCAAAACTTCGTCCCACGGGGGAAAGGTAAGGCACAAGCTAATGCAGTTGATGCTAATCAAACCTTTCAATTGCAACCTCAGCAACAGCAGCCACAACAACAAGCCCCACAACAATCTCGAGGGCAATGGCAACAACGGCCTCAGAAGCAGAAATCTTCGGAGCCAAGGTTTCCCAAAGTCTACTCCTTCAAAGATGATGAAGTTCCCGGCATCTTCAAATACTTGTTGGAGAACAACAAAATCCAGCTGCCGGCGATCGTGGATCAAGAGGGAGCCAGCAAGGTGACGGATCCAAAGTACTGCGCGTACCACAGAGCAGTCCACCACCCTACGAGATCATGCTACCACCTCAAGGACAAGATCCAGGCGTTAATCGACGTAGGGGTCATAACCCCGAAACCATCCAAGAATGTGGTGGCAAACGCAGTATCAATCAGTTTTGGATCGGTGCCTACAACTTGGTTTGAGCCAAAACGCGTCACCAAAGTCGGGATGAAGACGGTGAATGACGACCCGCACGGACAACGCCAAAAAAGACTTGTCTCATACACAGCCCCAAACGGTGAGATCCTCTGGGTGCACCCCGACCTGATTGAAGATGAACAATGGGCCGGATTGTCATCCAAGGAGAAGTCCAAAGGGAAAGAGAAGTCTTGTTATGGAGTCTCTGCTATCCCAGGGGAAGATGACGAAAGAATCCCCACTTTCCCGCTCTCCGACGAAGAACAGGAAGTCTTCGCGACCCGGAGTGGAAATGAGTATCACTTCAAATATCCATCTCCTAGTGATCAATTAGCTGAGCAAGGGGTGACAAAACGGGGACCAACCAAGACTCTCACAGAGCTGGGGGTGATTACAGTTCCTAAACCGGTTGAGGAGGTTCAACGACAGCCAGTAGATAAACATAAAGAAAAGAGGACCGAGGAGGGTCAAAATCCGAAGCAATCTCGTTTCAGTCGTCCGATTGGAAAGGATAAACCAGAGAGTTCGAAAACTCCGCGCGCCTTCGACATCATGGCTCAGCTAGCTAATATTCCAGCGCGGATAACGCTATATGAGTTGCTGCGGCTGTCTAAAGAAACTAGAGAAGCATTGCAAGAGGCCTTGGCCGATTCAGAAGCATTCCTCACTCGGATCAAACCGGCGCCTGAGGAACTAGAACTGTTAGCTCAACAGTGCAATGTGGTAGCTAAGAACATTCCCTGCATCACCTTCACCAAAGAAGACATGCAGACGAAGAATTCAAACCATGATCGGCCCTTGTATTTTGTCGGGTACATTGGCTCCAGCGAGGTCAACCGAATCCAAGTAGATCCGGGTTCCGCTGTGAGCATTATGCCGCTTCGCCTAATGCATAGCCTTGGCATTCCAGTCAGCAAATTGGCGTCTACAGGCACAGTCATTTACGGATTCAACACCAGCGGGTCAAGGCCTTTGGGGAAGATCCGAATAAAATGCCAAATGGGCGATCTGAAGACGGAGGTCACGTGTTACGTGATAGATGCTGAGACATCCTATAATTTACTATTGGGTCGGCCTTGGATCCATAGTAATGTTATAGTTCCCTCCACCTTACATCAATGTTTGAAATATGTCGACACTGATGGAAGGGTCAGGACGGTGGTCGCAGATAAGCAACCATTCAAAGGGTATGAGAATTACTTCACC